ACCGTTTAAAAGACATTTGGATAAGTACTTGAATAGGAAAGGTTTGGAGGGGTATGGGCCAGGAGCAGTCAGGTGGGACTAGTTTAGTTTGGGATTATGTTCAGCCTGGACTGGTTGGACCGAAGAGTCTGTTTCTGTGCTATCTGATTCTTTGACTGTATAATTGTGAATTAATTACTAATGGCAGCATGTGACTGAAATACTTATGTAATTGTGGTACAACTAGTTTGTAAAGTGAGAATCCAAGTAATTTTATATCAGCGCACCACACAGAATTAAACAGAAGATGCAACTTTTGCTGTAACACCCACATCAGATAATGCAAATTACACGCATTACAGTGACTATCACAAACCACTGTGTTGCTCAACATTCAGTACACATAAAAATAGCAATGCAAACAAATCCCCAAACAGCCTTGTAAAGTATCAATTTGTTGTGAACCTGAATGATCATACCCAGGAAATACAGTTTAAATCAACATGAACAAAGTAACAAACACTTAATTCTTTGATGCATACATTGGAGATTACAGATATATAAAGTGTAGATGGATGCCTGTGAGCCCATTGCGCCTGAGCTGGTTCTTTGAAAAATCTGTCCAATTAGTCCCACCGGCTACTTCCCCCATTGTCCTGATCCTTTTTATTATTGATTAATTTTATCTTGGATTCTCATCCTCTGGCAGCCAAACCTGCTCCCAATACAAACAGTTGCTTCATATCTACTCTACCACATCACATAACACTCTATCATAAATTTGGCAATCATTAATGTCCTCTTAATCATCTTCGTTGTGAGGAGAATAATCCCAGTTTCTCCACTCTCTCCCATCCTTCGTCTGAAGATGGGGGAGATAGGGGTATGGATTACGAATAGCTCCCATCACCCCTCCCAAAGGAAAGTCGGCATTGCTGGAAAAAGTCTTTCTGCAGCCAGAGTCAGCGGTGACCCTGCCCTTGAGAGATGTCACCCAATCTGATTAGCCAGCAGCTGCAGCAGTCCCAGCGCCCAGTGGTGGGCATCACTGAGAGAGTTGTCATCTGCATGAAGAGGATCGAGGGTAGCCAAAACAAGGTTAGATCCAAGACCCTGGGGAAGGGGTTAGGGAGGTTGGAGTTGGAAGGGCAGATTGTTATAAATGAGAGTGTCTTTTTAGGGTGTGAGTGTGAGTGTGTCCGTTTGTGTGTGTGTTTGTGTTGGGAGGTAAGTTGTAATTGAGGGCTAATCTTTCAATGATGTGGCCTCCATTCCTTTCCACCCCTTTTCAGTCTGACTTCAAACAACATATTTCCCATTCTGTCCATGTCAATTGTATTATGCCAATAGTGGTGTATTAAGAAGCTTAACTAACCGTTCTTTAATAATTCAATATGGCAGGTGTGCAGTCACTTTGGCACCACCCACCCACCTGCTGTATATGGGGGTCAGCTTGGAAGTTGGGTGGGCTGCTACCCCTCCTGTTTTATACTGCCCCAAACCTCACCAAACACACATCTGACAGGGACAGATTGGACATATCTGTCCAATCCAGCCAGGGAGCTCAATTTGTCAGAAACTATATTCAGGCAAAAGGATTTAGATAGCAATTTTTATCAAAAGGCTTGTTACACTGGTCTGATAAAGTAGTTGGCTGTCCATGGTATTTTTACAACCCTCGCCAATACTCATGAGGGTTCACTTTTTTTTGTTACATTAAGCTGCACCAGTTGGTTTGCTCCCTCAGCAAGATGGTAACACTATAGAAAATTCCGTAGTCAGACAAAGACCAATCATCGTCCAGTGTCTGGCCATTCCACTCCAGATAATAATTGGACATCGGGGTGCTGGTCACATCCTTGACTTTTTCTTTTATATTCCGAATGGGTAAGAAAGGATTCATAGAGAAATGCTCTGTGCAGCTTGAAGTATCCACAACCTTGACTGAAATTGGAATACCTTTTACAGGCTGAAAAGAACAATCATAAAAGACTATAATAAACAAAGGAATACAGGTTCTGTAAAGATACATCATTAATTTTACTATAATCAGTGGTAAACTCAATGATGGTATACTGGTGGGAGCTTGCTCGAAAGGAAGACAGAATGGAAAATCTGCTCTGGAGTTTTGTCACCCTACCTCAGAACTGTGCTCTCTTGTGGCCACAGTGGGGAGTGCAGATACCCAAATCAATGCTTGTACTCACTGACATCTAAATTATACTATCATATCATTTGTTCCAGTTTATCATGTCATACTTCCCAGGTCAAATGTTGGTCTTGCATTTTGTTGGTTTGTTCCCATCATCTCACTAGTCCCCTCTATTTAGTCAAATTTAATATCTAAGATCTTGTAACTCAGGGTCTAAGAATAAGTTAAACAATAGCAGTACTTGAAAGAATATAATTTAAGCCTTTTTGGCTTCATCAGAATTAAAAACCTAAGAAAAATAATACCAATTAAAAGAAAGTTAAGCAAAAGCAAACAAAACTCTCAAAATATTTTTGAGATTATTTTCTTTCATTTCTATATTTTCTTGCATCTGAGCTCTTTACAAGAATTGGAAATAATATTATTGTCCTAAAAACAGTATTATCTGGGGAGTGTTATAGGGTGACCCGGCTGGGATTGGGAGTTTGCATCTCTCAGAGGCCAAGACATTGGGAAATAACTGGAGAAACTCAGCAGAAACTCTGACAGCGCCCGTGGACAGAAAATGTTTCGGGTGTAGCGTCTGACTATTCAGAAGGGTAGTCAGATCTTCTTTGATCGCTGACATGAAACTCTTAAACATCAGAACGAAGAACCAAGAGCCTCAGGACTCTGAGGGAATCCAGATGCAAGCACAACTGTGGTACCAGGGTGGGTCATTTAAACTGTTAGATCCCACCTGGTCTACTCTATGATTGGCCAGTGGTTCAAAGAGGTGGGCGGTTTGTCATATTCCTACCCTGCATTTCACTTGGACTGACTTTGAGTTTGTCATAACTGGTCTAGCCCTGTGCCCACAGACAGTGCTTGTTGGCAACCCACCCCACTATCCAAACCTCAGACAGAGCTCAACCCCACACCCCTGAACCACTGACAGTGCTCACCCCCCCCACCCTCCTGACCCACAGACACTGCTAACCCTAACTCCCTCCAAAGTTACTTTCTGGAATCCCTGGTCTTTGTCTAACTGACATCAGTCGAGTTTGACATTTTCCTGGGAGTGACAGGGAGTGTCTTGGTACAGTTATACAGTGTGAGGGAGGGAGGGGAGACCACTGTCAGGGTGAGGAGGGGCAGTCACTACTGGGAATGGGGAGGGACGGTCACATTTGGGAATGGGGAGGGGATCACTGTCAGGAAGGTGCAGAGTGTGATCACTGCGGGGGATGAGGGGCTGATGGAAGGAGATCACTGTTAGGCATAGGGAGTGATCACTGGCGGGGGTGGTTTTAAGGAAATCACTGATCAGAGCATTGAGGGTGAGGTCACTGCTGTGGGCTGGGTGGGTTTGTTACATTGGTTTTGAACAAAAAAATTGCCATCCATGGGATAGTTGATTGTAGACACGCAGCCTTGGGACATTTCAAAATGGAACAGAATACAGCATGTACTGCCTTGAACATTCCCCAGCTGTGTTGCTCCAGACGAGATCCATTAGACTGTTGATTCACTCCACAGTTCTGAAGGAGCCAGCATAGGAACTGGTGGTGAAAAGGGCAGGGCCGGGTCCCAATACAAATAAATCGGACTGCAATGTCAATCTGACAATGATTGCCACTCCTCAGACAGGTTAGACTATAGGTTCCAAGCAGCTGGGTAGAGTACAGAGTGATTGGAGCAAAAATGCCCATTGAAGTGTCTGGGATTATTGCTCATGCTATAGTATTGTGCCAATCAGATTCATTCTCTGAACCATGAGTTGGTCATAGCTTATATAGAAGTAGGCAGGCTATAATTTTTCTGTGCATGTGGCCTACACAGGGGAGAAAATCGGGGATATCATTGTTGATCTTTACCGCATTTGGAAGTACACACACGTGGACAGATCTGAACTCAGCTAGAAACCACGCTCCTCCCACTGAAACAGGATACTTATGTTCATTGTCATAAGACTAGCCACTTATTTTGAGGTGTCAGAAGGTAGCCTAACTCCATGGGACAAGATAACAGCACAGGGCTTGGAGGAGGTGCAGAAGCGATTTACCAGAATGGTACAAGTGAGGAGACACTTCAGCTCTGTGAAGACCTGGGGAAGCTGAGATTCTTAAAGCAGGGAACATCAAGAGGGCATTCAGTACAAGTGTTCAAAAGTGGTGGAAGACTCAGTAGAAATTTGAGGCTATTAACAAAAGAAGATGAGACTTATTTTTACTCAGCCAGTTGTTACAATCTGAAATGTGCTGCCTGAAAGAGTGCTGGACATAGATTCAAAAGTAATATTCAAAAAAGAATCAGATAAATAGCTGAAAAGAAGCAATTTTGCAGGGCAGAGGAAAGATTAGAACAGTGGAACTAATTGGATAGATCCACAAAAAATGCCACACAGGCACTACAGGCCAAATGGCCTCTTTTATTTGCTCTATCATTCATGATTGTACGTCCTCTCAGGATGAAAAGCAAAAGATCAACAAAAGACTGATTAGATCAGGAGTTAACTACAATTTTTACATAGTGCCTTTAATGTAGCTCAACATCCCTCATACCAGCATTAGCAAACAAAATCTGACATAGAGCAACATAAGACATTATTAGCACCGGTGACCAGAAGTTTGGAGAAAGAGATAGATTTAAAGAGAATCTTAAAAAGAGAAGAGCAAACGAAAGGAACAGACAATTTTAAGGTTGGATTTCCAGGGTGTAAGGCCTAGCCAGCTGAAGTTGGGGTCCATGTGATCTAACAAAGCATCTTTGTGCATTGTGGAATGTGCAAAGAATAATAATCTTTTACTAGTCCCTCCTCATTGAGCAAGCATTCAGTATATTCACTGTTTAATATGAAGTATGCCATGATATTTCTGTGATATTTTACCTCAACTTTCCAGGGTTCAACGTTCTGTGCACAGACTTGCTGTAAGCATTTTTTGGCTTCCTTTGCAACCAAGTCCCATCGAGCATTTCCAGCAACATTTCCAGTTGGATCTGCAGGGTCGAGTATCATCGGTCTAATTTTCAAACAACACGAGGATCACCAATCAAATGATGAATTTGTAACGCTCATTCTTCAGATGGCATATTTGTATTTGTAATTAATTCCTGTTCAGAACCCAGTGTCTCTGCTCATAATATCTGTGCTACTTCATAAAGATTCATAGAATCTCTGCAATGCAGAAAGAGGCCATTTGGCGCATCGAGTCTGCACTGACCCTCTGAACAGCATCCCACCCAGACCCCGTCCCCCCTCCTCTATTTCCATAATTACCATGGCTAATCCACCCAGCCTGCACATCCCTGGACACAATGGACAATCCACCTACTGTGCACATTTTCAAACAGTGGGAGGAGACTGGTCCACCTGGTGGCAGTCCATACAGATACAGGGAGAATGTGCAAACTCCACACAGACAATCACCCAAGGCTGAAACCTGGGTCCCTGGCGCTGTGAGACAGTAGTGCTTACCGTCCAAAGGCAGAAACATGATTTTGGATTCTCAAATCTTTGCTCCTCTACCTGGGTTCTTATTTTCCAAGAAATGTGTGCCCTCTTTGTTTCCTGTTACCCTGAAAGGACAACTTTGAATAAGAAGCCATTGTGTTTCTATGTTCGGGTTCATGTTTTTACACTCTGCAGTGAATTCATTATTCCGTGAAGAAGCCAGAGTAAAAGTGATGTTATTAACCAAATCTGATAAATTATCTGCAAGTTTTACTGGAAGGAAAGTATTTCAACAAAATTTAACATTCAAGTGAATGTTTCCTTTTCCCCCCACACAAATGTGTTTCTCTCTGTCAGACCTCTACTGATACCACTCTTGAAGTAGCCAATGAGATGTGAAGGCAGTGACCCAATGATGGCATTTTCCCCAAATGTTAGCATTGCACAGCTGGTTTGTGAAGCCAAATCCCATTTATTCAGAGCTCCTTTATTTGTCTGCAATTTTTAAAAAGTATACAATCTAATTTGAAGTATCAAAGTCTTATTTGTATACATAACTGATTCCTGTTCAGACCCAAGAACATTGCTGCCATAGACCTGTGCTGTTTTATAAAGGCAGGAGCATGATTCTTAATTCTCAAATCCCTTTGTTCCTCTACCCTCTTTGGGTTCTTATTTTCCGAGAAATGTTTGACCTCATCATTTTCTGTTACCCAAAAAGTAAAACAGTGAATAAAGAAAACTTCCAAAATCACCCAGGTTGGCATACTTACCGCATGAACCCATGTGGATGTTATAAATCCTTTGATTAAAAATATAAAGTAACTAACCTCTATAATCCCCAGTAGATGAACCAATGGGACAAGAGGAGGGATTTATTTCACAAAACAAGTTGGTATGATCTGGACTGCGTTACCTGAAAGGGTGTTGGAAACACATCCCATAATTACCTACTCATGGATTTGGAGAAATCGATGTAAGGGAAACATTAGCAGAACCTTGAGAAAGAAGCAATGAAATCAAGCTAACCTAATAGCAATTTCAAAGGGCTGAATGGTCTCTTTCTGCATAATAATTTTCCATCTGGAAATATACTGTAAAGACAATCAAACTTGCCTTGGTTCTTTAAGTTTGTTTTTCAGGAAGTCAGCCACAAAGCAATTGACAAAGTTATAGTTCTTCGTCCAGAATAGCCACAGCTCTCTGTATCTAACAATCAATTCCATTACTGTGCGAAATCCTGCAGCAGTATCAAAATTGTCTCCCAGACCCATGCTCTCCCACGCATGGATGACAAGCAGCTCCAGAGCGTATTTTGGTGGGAGGAACTCTCCACTTCTTAGTTGACGTTTGTATGGTCGGACATACTGTTGGGTTAAATAAAAAAAATTCAATGCACGCGCTTGAAATCCTTGTAAAAGTATTGAAACATACTTTGCCAAACAATGTACCCAGTGTGCAAAGTTTCCCTTGAAGGGAAGAGAAACTAAAGTAAAAGATCTTTGAAAATGTGAAGAAGGAGAATTTGTTTCCACCTGCAGGGGAAGCTTTAAGATAAATGACAAACCAGGGAGAGGAGCACAGTTATTTTTAATGGAGTGTCTTATTATGATTGAGAATTCACTACCTTTAAATGGCAGTGAAAGCAGGTTTATTACTAACTTTCAAAAGGAAATTGATTATATACAGTTCATGAAAAATAGAAACTTACAGACATGTGGAGAAATCACAGCAGAGTGGGACTAATTGGATAGTTCAACATGAGGCACAAAATGTTTCTATTAACTACTTGCAGAGGCCAAGTCGAGAAAAGCAAGAACTGGTCACATTGACATTTCTGCTAAATCTTTGTTCTATGTGTCTGTCCAGAGGCCCTGCAGGAGAAACTCATTTATGTAGTGAACTTAGGTGGATTCTGCTGTCTGTGCAGTGTGCATGGCAATGTTCTTTGATCTCACTGAAGAACAGATATGGACCAGGTAGACAGTGGTTCCAGCTGCTTCCTACCTTTAGGGAATCAGCGTACATCTGCACAGCAAATGGCACTACATGAATACTACATCACTACCTCCTCCCGCCAGTGCCTGCAGTCTCACCTTACAATATTTAACTTGTGGATGGTGGAAGGGTGAGTATTAACTCTTTACTACCTCGTAGACCAGACAAGACTCAGGTTTTCTTGTTTGCGTATTCAGTTATCCATGCATGTGTGTTATCCACATCAAGAAAATGTCATTAAACTCAGATTTCATTATGAAAGCAAAGGTTTTACACCGGTTTTACACATAACAATCAGCTACTCCTACAGATAATATTTTACAAGCAAAGGGTTCCGCTTATCTACCACTATATCACACAATTCTGGTTGCATAATTTGCTCTTATCCAATCATATTCAAACTTACACACATGATAATATGATCC